TGCAGATCCCCTTCTCCCTATTTGATATCTCCTCGAGGGGAAGCCAGCCGTGGCGACGAGAGGCCCCGGGAGGCCCCTCGGGGGTGACGCGCCTCGAGCCTGCAGAGCCTCTCCTCGGAACGCGTGTTGGCGCCAGCCCGTGCCCGTTCTCCGGGGCCCTCCGGCGCGACGCAGGCGGCGCAGCGAAAGGCGGCACGGGCTGCGCGCTGTCGGCGGAGCCGAACGGGGCACACGCGCGCTCGGGCTAGCACGCATTGAACATGTATATATATATATACGTATATATATATATATATATATATATATATGTTGACATATATAAATAGGTGTATAGACACTAGTGAATATAGATATACACACACTTGTACACCATGATGTTTATAAGTTTACACTCCACGGCGCGATGATGGCCCATGACCGAGAGGTCCGCGGTCCGCCCGTCTGGACCCTGACCTCCGGCGTCATGATCTGTTCATGACGTGGCCCCCGGGACCAGCTTCTCACGCCGAGTCGTTTTCCCACGGCCCTGGGGCCTGGCGAGGGTTCCACCGCAGAGGCAGAAAATTACCAAAGACAGTCAGTCGCGATCATATCTCACAACGGGAGGGGGTCGCCGACGGCGACGAGGAGGAGGACAAGGACGAGGACGAGGACAAGGACGAGGAGGAGCAGGACGAGGACGAGAACGAGCACGTGACAACGACCGCAGAGCGGACGCCTGGCGCCGCCGCCGCGCGCCCGCGCAGCCACTCCGCGGCCCCTCGCCGGCGCCGCGCCCAAGCGAGCAGGGGCGGCGGCCGGGCCGCCGGGCGCGGCAGCGTGCAGCATGGCGGCCGGGGACACACGGGGACCCAGGGGGGAGGGGGGGGGGAGGGGGAGGGAGGAGGAGGAGGAGGAGGAGGAGGGGGGGGGGGGGGGAGGAGGAGGAGGAAGAGGAGGAGGAGGAGGAGGAGGAGGAGGAGAGGAGGAGGGGAGGAGGAGGAGGAGGAGGAGGAGGAGGAGGAGGAGGAGGAGGAGGAGGAGGAGGAGGAGGAGGAGGAAGGAGGAGGAGGAGGGGGAAGGAGGAGGAGGAGGAGGAGGAGAGGAGGAGGAGGAGGAAGGGAGGAGGAGGAGGAGGAGGAGGAGGGAGGGAGGGAGGAGGAGGAGGAGGAGGAGGAGGAGGAGGAGGAGGAGGAGGAGGAGGAGGAGGAGGGGGAGGACGGGGGGGAGGAGGAGGAGGAGGAGGAGGACGGGGGAGGAGGAGGAGGAGGAGGAGGAGGAGGAGGAGGAGGTGGAGGTGGGGGAAGAGGAGGAGGAGGACCCACACGCTCACTTTGATCTCTTCTATAAGGAATTATTATATTGTCGTGTATTAGAGCACGCGCAAGACCTTGCATTGTCTTAGGTCATGTTTAAGGAAATCGCTCATATGACACATGCGTATCTGGATGCGCGTATGTATGGTGTCGAGAGGGCCCCAAAACGGCCCCAAGAGAACCCCAGGAGAGCCCCAGGAGGCTCCCAAGAGGGCCCCAAGAGGCTCGCAATGTAGCGTATCTATCTCAACCCAAAAGGGGCAGGCAAGGGGGGCGAAGCCCTAGGCGCTGCGGAGGCGAATCTTTTTTTTTCCAAAATATGAAGGAAGGTCAGGCGGACTCGTTGTGAAACCACATATATAACGCGGAGGGCGCAACACATCTGAACACGAGTTCGGTTGGACGAAACTATCGCCAGGACAATGTCGGGGGAAGTGTCGGAACTATCGCCAAGAAAGCTACCAGTCTTTGTGCCCTGTTGTTTTGTGTTGTTTGTTGTTTTGCGTGTGTTTCCACACCGGGCGGCCCTTTGGGAGGGGTCCAAAGGCCCCCCTTTCGGGACCCCCGCCGCTGGACCCCATGGTTTTCCCAGGCGGTCCTTTCCTCACAAAGCTGGAACCCCTGGTTTTCCCGGGGGGGGTCCTTTCTGGCCCGAATTCGCAGCATCACCTGAGCGAGCTCTCCTCCTACCTTTTCTCTTTCGGCGGGCGGGGAGCAGGAGGTTGGGAAGATGCGCCGTCACGCTTCCGAACGAGAGCCGCGGAGGGAGGAGGCCGACGGAGCGAAACCACCAGGAGCAGCAATGCACGCCCTAGTAAAACCTAATTGTACTGCGAAGAGCGCTGTCGAACTGGGCAGTGTGTACTGCGGCGCGGTATCCCCAAACGCGCGGCGGGAAGAACCAGCGTGGGCAATGCCCCAAACACTTTCTCAAGCATCGCCCAGAAGACCTTCCTTCTCGAGCCCTACGCGGGCCGCGTCCGAACGACGCTTGTACAGCTGCTCACCCGAAATCCCGAAAAACAAACACACACGCGCTTCACGGTGCCACGCGCGGGAATGCACCCGCTTGTAGAGGACGGCCCTGCTGACGCCGACGTCGTCGGCCTCACGGTCCCAATCGTACTTTATATGATACGAGAGATGTGTGTTGCATTTTGACAAGGGAGGGGGGAAATATGAGGCGGAGGATGAGGATGGAAAGGATGAAAGGGAAGCAGGGAGGAGGAGGAGGAGGAGGAGGAGGAGGAGGAGGAGAAGGGGGAGGAGGAGGGAAAGGATGAACGCGTGGATGTTAACGAGAATGTGAGTATGGTACTATGGCCTGCTTGCTCTTGTTGCCCTGCTGGAGAGCCTTGCCGCCCGCGTCGGCCTTGCACTTGCCTCCGTTGCCCTTGCCCTTGCTCTTGCCCCCCCTTGGCCGTGCCCTTGATATTGCTCCCCTTGGCCCTGCCCTTGCCCTTGCCCTTGCTATTGCTGCCCTTGCCCTTGTCCTCGGGGCCCTTGCCCTTGGGGCCCTCGTCCTCTGGGCCCTTTCTCTTGGAGTCCTTGCCCTCAGAGACCTCGGAGCCCTTGCCCTTCCTCTGGCGCTGCCTCGTGCGGGCCCGAACACAACTGGGCAATCTCCTCGGATCCAAGACGCCCCTGTTGCTTCGGGCCCGGAGTCTTGGCACGAAAGCGGGGCTTCGGCAATGGCGCAGGTGCCCCGTCAAGCGCCGTGGGCACGTAGGCGGTCGGCCGCTTCGCGGGGGTCTTAATGGTGAAGAAGTCGATCTCATCAAATATGTCTTCATTGTCTGCCACTGGATCATATTTGAACTCGATTGATTTAGAAACCGTCGGCTCATCATCTGAAATACTAATCTGAGAAACCTCCTCATCATCAGTTGGATCCTCCTGCCCCTGCAATGGATCCTCGATCACGGTACTCTTGGCCACATTCACATTTATCAAGTGAATCCACGATTCCATGTTCCCGCACTTTGAATGGATCTTTTTCTCTCTTTTTTTCCTGACGACGTTTCACGTCACGCAATTGCCCAAGCATCGTGCGCATCTTGAAAACAACCGCCTCCACCTGACTAAACTCTTTAAGCGTATCAATCATTGAATAATTGTGCCATGTTGCCGATTGTTGCGAAAACCTATTCTGATTCAAAAGTGCCCCATCTGTTTTCACATAAATATCGGCAACTGTCTGGCGCCATGGCAGAATCTTACACCATTCAGGCTTAGCTTTCATTGAAGCCCCCAACCTTGCGTTCGCAATTCCATAATCTACCGGGCTTAGCGAGGGCCAATGTGATATTGAAATTGAACAGGCCGAATGCTGCCTCGTCAGAGGTGCATATATTATCTGCCCTCGTTTGTCCAGCAACTGCCATGGCATTGTCTTTACAATGATCGAAATATGTTGCGAGCACGAACCTCGGAAGCAAACTCTATGGCAAGAAACGCGTGCTTGAGCCCGAATGTTTACAGTTGTTTAGTAAGGTTGGCTGATCAAGTTTGACCGAATTTGATCAAATGTCTTTGACTTTGTTTGGTCAAAGTTGATCAAATTTGCTGGTTTCGTGCTTGGCCATGTAACCCTTTGCAGCTCCTCTGCCCCGAAAAAATGCAGTTGATCTACAGGGCGGAACCTTGCGGCTTTTCTGTTTAGATACCGCAGCTTTCCTGTTCAGAAACGCTCGCATAATGACGCGGTGTGTGTATATATACACAATCAGCTGTTGAGGGCAACCCAAACTCGTAAGTTGACGCGCGCGCACTCGCTGCCAGCCCAAGAATGTATGAGCGCATGCTTCGCGAATGGGATAATGCACCATAACTCCCGCAATTCCCAGAGCACGCTTGACTCGCCAGGAGCAGGATGAGCAGGAGGTCAGCAGGAGGAGGAGGTCGCATGGTTTTTCCCTCGTCGTAGAAGCATGTTCCCACGCGCCGCGCAGACGCTGATCACACGTAGCTGAACAAACCGAGGCGTACTTGATGATGAAAAATGACAAAAGTATTTCAAATCACGCGCGCGAGATCTGGGAATGAATATACATGTAGTAACTTTAGTCAATGTCGGGCACCTCTTTGGGAACATCCTCTTTCCACCCCCCCCCCCTTCCTCTTGGTAGCGCTTCCCTTCGCACCGAAATTCACTCACCATTGATCGACATCTGCCCACTCCTTGTTGAGCGCCTCGACCGCGGCCATCGCTACTGGCATCGATTCCCTCTTCACCGAGTCCTTGTCCGTGAGCATCTTCGCAGCGCTGTTCTGCGCTGCCTTGGCCTTCTTCAAGGACTTATCCATGTCGGTAGCGAGCACGCCTGCCAGGCGATGGTTCTGAGCAGCAGGCAGCTGCGAGTTGACGTCGAGGATCTCGTCGTCGATGCCCCTTGCGAGCGCCTGCAACGACGTGAGAGTGTGGAAGTCGCCGATGTTCTTGCTACTCTGTTCCTCTGGGCTGAGCTTCTCGGTCTTGACCGTGACTGGAACGAATCTGCTCTCGGCCTTGAGGTTTTGCAAATTGGCCACTTCCTTTGCATCTGGCTCATCTCCCTGGAACTTCTGGCGCTTGCTCGTAAGATCGCTGCCTGTCTGCTTAATCCACTCGATTGGCACTGCGTAATCGCGAAGCGGATCCTCGTCGGAACCTGTAGCTGGATCAGGCCTGGTCTCCAGCATAGGCTTGCCATCCGCATCGTTTGCCTCGCGCCAAGCTTTTCCCATTCGTTCGCCAAAATTTGCCCACTTTCTCTTGGCCCATCCAGATCGTTGTCCTGCCCCTCTCAGTGGAGAAGTCCTTTGACTTTGATGACTCCGCGCTTGTCAAAGTTCCCTTTCTCGCGCCCGTGTAAGCCATATACATCAAGAGACCATTCTCGCGATCGGCACCCCTCTTATTTGAAACGTCATCAACGCCGTTTTGCTTTGCCCATGCTGTAAAGCAACCCATTTTTTGAGCGAGTCTCATCTTTGGGTGCCTTCTCGAGAAGCGTTTTTTTGCTGCCTCGATTTCAGCAGGCCCAGGCTTTCACACTTCCGTCAACCTTGGCATATATGTATGGATGTACGTAGAAGATGTGACCAGCTGGAATCGCGATGTTACCACCTGGAGCCTTCTGAGACGAAACAGCGACGGTGACACTATCAGAACGGAAACGAACGCATCAGTTATGCAAGAAATGCGCGCGTCTTTGATCGCCAACAGCTCCAGAACAACAGTACAGCGCGATGCCTCGCAAGACACTCGCGCCCGGTAAATCTCTGGACGCTCGCGCATAGCTGTCTCAGTGCCGAACGCAGATCCACAAACCAGCCCAAGTCACATTAGATCACATGCGGTCAAATTTGATTTCGCTTGGCTAGGTCAAATTATCAATGAAACCTGGTAACTAACAAGGTTTTGACACAGCCAAACGAAGTCAAAGCCAAAGTCAAATTCTATCAAAGTTGACATGGGCTGGTTGTGCCAGGAAATCAGCGCGCAATGATTTACCCAACTGCATTGTTAGGCAACTTGCGCACATAGAACGACGTTATGATCTACCGCGGGATACATTGAACGATATAGAACTTCAGTAAACCGTCAGACATGCACCTGACCAGCAAGATATCTCACCCGAGAGCTGACGCAGAGATCCTAAACAACATTATAACATATCCATATCCAAAGGGGTAATATTGATATCCAGCCACGCACCCTAAACCACAGTTCACAGTCCAGACACATACCCGAGACAGCTGGGCGCATACCCTAAACACCAATATGACATGCAATAGGAGACCCCAAACAGCGAGACGCATACCCTAGCAAAGACCCTCAACAGCTACACATATATCAAGACAGATATCCTAAGCAGCCGAACGTAACTCAATGCGGATACCCAGACACATGCCCTAATACAACCTGGCAGGCACACATGAGGAAGAGCGGGCGCGCGGGCGGCTCTCTCGAGGGAGGGCCGAGCGAGAGAGCAGCGGGGCGCGACTCGGGCGGGCGGCCGCGCAGCAGGGCGTGGGGTAGCACGAGCGCGAGAAAGAGAGAAAGAGATAAAGAAAGAACAAGAAAGAAAAAGAGAGAGAGAGAGAGAGATAAAAAAACATGACAGAGAGAGAGAGAGAGAGAGAGAGAGAGAGAGGGAAACAAAAAAAAAAAAAAAAAAAAAAAAAAAAAAAAAAAAAAAAAAAAAAAAAAAAAAAAAAAAGAGAGATGAGAGAAAGAGAGAAAGAGAGAAAGAGAGAAAAGAGGGAGAGGAGGGAGAGGGAGAGAGGGGAGAGAGGGAGAGAGGAGAGAGAGAGAGAGAGAGAGAGAGAGAGGGAGAGAGAGAGAGAGAGAGAGAGAGAGAGAGAGAGAGAGAGAGAGAGAAAAAAAGAAAGAGAGAGAGAGGGGAGAGGAGAGAGGGAGAGAGAGAGAGGGGGAGAGGAAGAGTGAGATAGGGATACAGAGAGGGAAGGAGCGAAGGCGAGGGAAGGGGGGAGGAGAGGGAGAGGGAGAGGGAGAGAGAGGGAGGGAGAGGGACAAGGAGAGAAAGAGAGGAAGAGAGAGAGAGAGAGAGAGAGAGGGAGGGAGAGAGAGAGAGAGAGATAAAGCAAGAAACAAAGAAAGAGAGAGAGAGGTGGGGGGAGGGAGATGGAGGGAGAGGGAGGGAAAGTAGAAGGAACCTCGGCCTCCCCCCCCTCACCAATTTCCCCCCCATCGCCCAGATTTGTTGCCCCGCTGCGATTGGCAACCATATGCTGCGCACGTGCTTGGCGACAGCGAAGCGTGCAAGGTTAAGGCATGGGCGCGTGTTTACCATGTAACACGGCCGAAATTGCAAAGCGCTCGACAGTGCGTCGCGCTACTCCTGGCGCTTGCCGTCAGAACCTGACGCCCCATTGCGAGCGTGCGCCTCGTTGCCCGACTCAGATGTCCGCTCATTCTGGGGGGAAGTGATATCATCAACTATCAGTTCAGCCTCTGCCCAGGAGACCCGAATGGCGAGCAGCAGCCCCCGTGCCTGCTTGACCCTGCTCGCGTCCATCTTGGCAAATCAGGAATCGAATCGCACCTGGGTGTAGCTGGCAGCCTTGCCAATCTCCTCTGCGGCGGACTCGAGTTCCCCCTGCAGCTGCGCCGCGCACCTGCGACCTCCGACCTGCGCCGTGGCAGCGCTGACGAGGATGCCGAAATTATTGATTTCGTCTTGACTATCAATTAAGTCGCTCACGCGCGAAGTTTGCGGCGCAACCGTAGAAGCTTCAGAGCCCGACGCATCTTCTTGGGCAGCGAGTTCTCCACGTGAATCTAGCACTTTGCCTTGCCGACGCTGCTGCGACATCATCTCCGCGACGGCTGCCCCGCGAGGGTGGCGTGGCATCTAAAGACGTATTCTACGCGCCAGGAGGCTTCGGCACCTCATCATCGCTCACACGTGCATGTCCACCAGGAACGAGCAAGCTGCGGTCAGTAATCGCAAGAAATGAAATCCTTGAGCCAAAACGGCTAGCCAGAAATGCAAAGCTGCGGTTAGCAACCTCAAGAAATGACATCGGGGCCAGGTTCGCCCCGTTGTCGGCTCAGTCGTGTTTCTGTTTCAAACCGAGTTGGCGCCCCTAGGTGGTCATTCTTGCCGCCCCCCTCATCCCCCTCCCCCTCTTCCTTTTTCACAATCATCATCCTTCTACGCGGCGGGTAAGGACGCAGAACCGAGGGCGCGAGGACAAATATAAATGGGCGAGGGTAGCGGGCGCCGGAGAACATCTGCTTAGCAAAAACGAACGCATGGCAGCAAACCCTGCCTCTGCCCGGACACTGCAAGGGCGAGGCGGCAAGGCGCCCCCTCCAACGCCTTCACGGTGGGGGTTGTCTGCCAGAGCTGTTTGCAAAGATGTGCTACGTTGCGCGGCGGAACTCAGCGAGCAGAGGTCAATATGATATACGTGTTGCATAGAAGCTGCACATGATGATCACGTCTGCATGTCGTTGCCTTAGCAGTTGCATGCATTGGTGCTACGCACTGCGCATTTCAGTGATGCATGAGATCAAGCCACGTGGAGATATGAGCTGAATCAGTAGGCCGTCTTATTATGTGTAACCGTAAATGCGCATTACCATATATGTGGTATGATGTTGTTGTGGCGGTGGTGATATGATGGCGGTGCTGGATGCGATTGCGACGGTGGCAATGTTTTCTGCAAGCATCGCCGAAAGCGAACAAGGGCCATTTATACAGAGCTACGGCTGGCATCGTGGAGGGGTGGCAAGCCTGCGCCACCTCCATCATTTGTCCGACAACATCCTCGTCTGCATAAACCCAGTAAAATATGGGATTTCCATATCCCAGTGCCTGCCACTCGCACAAGTGCAAGAATATATGATGCTTTGGTTGGAACTTCCACAGTTTAGCAGGAACCAGAGCACGGGCGGCTTCAGCCGACAAGTGAGCGTACAACGAGCACAAATTGAGACCCACCTCAGGAAGCCTTTTTTTTCGCATCGCCCGAGAGAAACATATCTTCCGATTCTATGATGTCGTACAAATCAACCAGGCACTGCGCGACGCCCAAGCGACGGCGGTTGTGGGTTGTGCCGTCGTTGTGCTTCAGAGCGAATTCCAACGCGAATCTGGCGAGGTGTCGTGTGGCGGCGGCCTTGGCCTTGAGCTTCGGTCAGCCACCGCTGGTCCGAATCCTCTCAACGGTGAGCTTGCCCTGCCAACGTGACGTCTGTCTCGTAGCTTTGTAATGCGCTTGCATTTCTTTGAAAAGCTCATTGGCGTTTTCTGCAGCGTCAGGTTTGCTCCAAGCACGCGCCAACATCAATTCCCCAATAAATGTTGGCCGATTACATGAGAAGCGACGCCTTGATTCACAGCGTGGAGGACGTCGGTAATCACGCACTCAAGGCGCAAACCGACTGCCGCCTTGAAAATCACAGGTCATGGTTTTACTTCTGCCGTGTGCGACTCGTGGCCGCGCACGGTCTTGCGCCATCCAGCGCACGGGCGGCAATCAATAAATTTGGGTTCAGGAATTGTGCTGCTGGCCTTACAAACCCAGCACATACTCTCAGCGCCGTTCCATTGAGGGAACCCGAACATTCCACACATGAATTGCCAGTCCCCACGAACTTGTGCGAATACGCCTTGTGCCCACCAGCAATGTAACCACTTTCAGAATGGATTGGGAAACCGAGCCAGTTTACAGCAGGAGAGGTACCAGCCAAAAGCGCGTTCATGCTCCAACTGGCGATGTGCATAATAGCATCAGGCGTGCCAGGTACCACATCCGATTGTTTGACCACTGTGTAAACGAACCTCTTAGCCGATGTTGTGCCAGCGCCAAACCGACTGTTCCACGTGAAAAAATACACTGGCTCTTGCTTCGAGAAAGCACCAGCGTCGCCGTAAAAGCCGAGCCGAATGGCTTTCGCCCAATCCTCTGCCTTCAAAACGGGATGATTGGACACAAAGGGCGTGTTTGGCATAGACTTCGAAAATTCCAGACTCACTCCTGTCGGGCCTGTAATGCACGTCTGCCAAGCGCGAGGGGCATGAAGGAACAGATTGCGAAACCATTCGGCAACAGGAATGGATGCACGACTTCCCATTTTTTGGTAAGAATTTCAACCCACGTGAAATCAGGCGATCCTTGCGGCTTGCCAGAAGCTGCTATCAAAGCTCTCTGCGCGTTTTGAGCGTGTGCCGCGGGCGAGCCGATCCAAA